ATATATTCAATAGGTATTTTTTTTGTTTTTATAATTTGTTTAATAAAGAAGAAGAAATTAAAACGTGTTTAAAATCCAATTGCAATGCACAGAAGAGAGCAATGAATTTGGGAGCAAAATTAAAGAGACATGCACATCTACTTTTTTATATAAGTGCACGTTCTGACAGATATTTATAATACATTGCAACAGACACCAATAATAGTTTTCTAATATTTACGCATTATCAGATATACATGCCTGAGTTTAAATAATGATTTTTCAAAAGACACCCCTAGATGTTCATTTAAAACAAGATACAAAATAGTTCATAGATTAATGAAAATCTTTGATGAAAATAAAATTATGATCATTTACAATTATATATGGCAAATAGTATTGTCCATATATAATATATATTATATGACTGCTTTTACTGGCCTTCATACGCAATATAAAAATATTGTAATACTAATCAATCTGAAAACTTTGATTTCAATAATTTAATTTTTGTAGCTGCTGCATGTGTTCTAGTTTTAATTTCTCTTTTAATTGAATTTATGTATATAAATGTATTTTATGAATATGAATCTTTGTGTAAAATTCGCCAAGCATTTAATACACTAATGCCTAATTGTTGTGAGGGTCGTACTATTGATGCTATTGGTTCTTCGAATGCACTTTGAGTAATAGCAAAAATGTTTTCTTTCAGTTTATCTTATTTGAGTGAATTGTAACAACAAAAACTTCGCGAACCTTACGAAATGGTAATTGTAAAAACATTGGTTTTCATAATTAGTTTGAATAACATTAACGCGTTGTTCTTGCATGGTTCAAATTTTACATTATTGAAGTTTTCAAATGCCAATAAGCCAACTAAAAAAGATAACGTTAGAAAATTTTGTTAACGGTATCTAGATTCGATATTTCCAAATGCTTTTGCATTGCATGATTTATTTGTTCATTTCAATTTACTGTAACATAAGAACTCTTTCCTTAGGCCAATAAACTTGTATAGCAAAAGCTAATTCTTGAATACTATACGTACATAAACAAAATTATAGTACAAATTATAATACAAATTATAATACAAATATAATATATAAAAAAATATTACAAATTGGATCCATAGCCATGAAAACAAATCAAAATAAGAAAAAAAAAATTAGAAAAACGTAGCGTAAAACAGCATAAAGAAATAGCTATAGCAGTAACACTAAAAGTTAACTACATTTTTTGGTATTGTTTTATACACCTAATTTCTTTTTTGCACGATAGATACATCCCCAAAAAGTTTATGGAAGATAAATGATATTGGCTAAATAGAAAGTAGTAGATTGATTCCAGACCTAAAAACTTAACTGAAAAGTAAAATAAACGTCATTAAAAAATTCTAGTTAGAGTTCACTTAAGAATTTATTTCATGATTACACATTTTAAATTATTAAATATATTATAAGAAATAAAACATGCTTTAAAAAAATAAAATATCTGAATTTTATTAATATAAAAAAGTAAAAGTAACCATAACAAAATTTTAAGCAATGTTACTTTCTGACAACAATCGCATACGGTTGCGCCAGGCCACACTGGCTAAATTATGAAGAATATAAGACAAAGTTGCAAAGCTAATTTGTGAGAATTGAGAATGAAAAAATTCCTAGAATAATGAAAATCATATTGAAACCAAGCAATTCTTATAAAAAGAGATGTACAAGCAAAGGAACTGATTATATACCTTTTTGGTTAACTAGTCGTCATTTGGAAGGCTTACCTTGAGAAGCATTTGCTAGAGGGTTATTTATGACTTTCACCATTCGCAATTTATTTCGAAAAAATAATGAGAAAATAAAATACAAATTTGTTTGTTTGTTTCTTTACAATGATGCAATGAATAAGAAAATCGTACAAACCTATATAGAAACAAAATTCTGCAAAGTTTTCGAAGAAGTAAAATGAAGCTACTAAGCACTTCTAATAGAAAAAACAAAAAAAAAATTTAATTTTCGTTCATCATTTTCATTGTGAGCTTGAGCACTGAATTTTGCCTTTTTATTTTGATTTTATATATTTACACATTAACGTATGAATTTACCTATGAAGAATGTATAGTGGTTTAAAGTGCAATTTGTTCGTTTTTAATTAGTTTCTGAAAATAAAACCCAACTTTTTAATATTCAAAAAGCTAATTGATTCCTTATATTTTTAAGTTCATTATTATTCAATCTGAAAGTGCAGAAGATATGTGTTTTCTTATTTCCTTACTTATTCGCCACAATTTATAGATTTCTACCGAGACGTCCATATCGAATTTTCCTATTTTACTCTTTATAGAGCACGCAAATGTTCTGAAATATTCCGTATGTTCCGTAAAAACATTTGCCAATTTTCCTATCTTCCTGGATCGTATCTGCTTTTTCACTCTTTTATTAAAATACGCCTTTGGCCTTGAAAACTATAAAGGTTTAATTTGTTTTTGGAAAATGAATTTAATACTAACGTAACCAATGCATCTCTTAACAACACTTCTTGCTTTGCAACGCCTACCATTGAATTTGGTGGCAATGGTTGGAGTACCGTACGACATCATTAACCGCTAAAGTGCTAAAGGAAATATGCTTTTATCTGCAAATACTTAAATGGTACAGTTACATAATGCTGTACATTATTTTACAAGTCCAATGGATTTCCAGAACTCATCCACTGCAATGCCTCCACACATGCGAGTCGGGACTAAGAAAATCTGAAGTTTACTGCCACAATTTTCAATTCGTGATCCTAAACTTTACAAATAAAGTATTTATACGAGCGTACGCAGAAAACATAAATATATATGTAGATTAATCCGCTACCATTTCATTTAGGCTATGCTTGGTTTTTCAGTTAATGAAATGTTCTTTATTTCGTTGGGCGTTACGGAAATAACTGTGGATTCTGTCTACGCATACAATCACTCCAATGAATATTTCAATTATCGTTCACTGTACAGCAAAGCGTTACAAGAACAAGAAGAGCACAATAAGAAATTACTTAACACCACAAATACCAAACTTCCTACAGAAATATTCTTTTTATTGGCATTCATAATTTAGTTTAGTTTATTAATTAAGAATAATAATTATTAATGACAGTATATAAAATAAAATATTTATTTCATGATAAAATCGTTTCAAAAGCGTTGTTTAAAAAGATAAAAAGATTTCAACAGCTGTATTTAAAAATATATAAGCCATTCGAAAAGCTCGCTTTTAAAACCTTAAAAATAAATAAAACAAATTTTCAGTGCAAACGGGCCTTTCATCCCAGTTAATTTTTTCAATGATTTAAAGACTGAAAATAAAGTTAACATCATTTTAAATAAATATTTTTTTATGTATTCATTTACACTTACTCCTTCCCACTGATAGGCATTCCTGGTATGTTCAGTCATAACATTTCACTTCGTAGCCAATTCTGCAGCCATTCTCTATCCTACCCTACCTATGGCCACCTTCGGCTCACAATTTCTGCTTTCCTCCCCACACAAAAAATAGATCAGCACATTTTTACAAATATTTTTTTTTCTTTTTTTTAATTCATATTATTTTTAACAGCATACATAATATCAACACCTCTAGATTAATTAAAAGGGGGCAGATTAAATAATCTATAAGTATACATGTATGATTATTTAAATTATGTTAGGTACTTAACAATTTATATATATATATTATACACGTAAAATAAAAATGATGAAGGACCTTATATGCCGATTGTTTGCTGCTACAGATGATGACGTTGGTATTAGAGATGATGAAGTTAATAATGAAGTTGATGACGCAACGAAGACGGAACCTCAATGTTGCTGTTGCATACTTTAAAAGCGTCGTAAACTCAAAAATTCAGTAATCGAAAGTCGTATTATAACCATTGATAACTTCTTAGGACAACTCACTTTAATCTGTAGTTTTGCAATTCGTAACTACTTATATATGGTTTTTTTTAGAGATATACATTGGACATTCTAAAATCAGCTTCAGAATCGAATATCAATTCTATATGTTACTTTATTAATACTACTAGGCTCATTATCTAATGTATATTTATTTAAATTCGAGCCGATAGCCTGTGTTGCTAGTGTTCTTTTTTTTTAGTCTAAGAATTTATTTTATTAGTTTAAAATTATAATAATAATAGTAATAATAGAGATATACAACCTTGTGGCTATTACAAACTTTTGCTCATGCCTGTGAACTAGTCGATTCTTCGTCACTTTTTCCATCATTGAAGGTAACAACCCCATATGCCACAAGGATGCATTTGCAACGAATGTTGCAAAATAATCCCAAATGTTACATTATCTAACGTGAAGGTGTCTACTAATTATTTGTTTTTAACGTCGAGCCCGTATTTGCTAGGAAAATCAGCTCCGATGATTGGCTTGGAAATGGCGTTTAATATATTAATTGTTGAGCTATTGGGTGCTGTTAAAATAATATTGGACCATCTCTTATTGGCTTCGAACTAAGATGACAGAAGCACTGGAACTTTTGCACCATTGTCAATTCAACAAAATCATTTGATTTTAACAATATGTAATCAACAAATTTTAAATATTTGTGTTACTGCCGACACTAACTAGACCACATAACAATTTTTTGTTTGTTAATTTATAAATACTCAAGTGTGTTGTTTTAATAATATGTACTGAAAAACTTCCCATAATATTCCTAAATTCTTATATGCATGTAAATGTATATATGCATATCTTTGTGCTGTGCAAACTAACAGTCAGCTGTTATATGTCAAGTTGACAACGAAAGCTGCTAGAAAATAATTTTAAAATATAAAAGAAGTGAGTCGATCAAAGCAGTTGGTTTTCGTTTGCTTGTTCGAGCATTAAATTAATAAATAGAGTTGTAAGTAGAAAAAAGAGCTCTTCAAAAATGTTGTCATTATTTTATCGTGTTAAAGCCGTCTTAACTTGACTGTGTCGGAGCATTATTTAAAAACTATTTTATTAGCAATCGTTCTTTTCTCAGGAAATTATCCATCCATCCAATTTGCTGATCTGCAAAGCCAGTCAGCAGCAGCATCGTCACCGACAATCACAACAGAGATCAGCAATAGGATTTTTCCTTCGGAGCAGTTTCAACATCGTCGGCAGGGTTGAGCATAGAAATAAATGTACCATTTCACACTCAAGTAAACAACAACAAAATGCAAGTGACAGGAGCGCGACCTAAAGCACAACCAGTAACATCGACATTTCCATTTAGTAAAATTCGACACTTTAATTTCCATTTAATAAATTTCAAGAAAAATCAACAGTAAATTAACAAAATGCTACATCGCAAGTGGATTTGCAACTAAACAGCAGCAATGTTTGCAAGAGGAATTCTTCGAAAGAAAAGTACCAAATTTTATTGGAAATTGATGGAAGTGTCTAATCACAACAAAATCCTTTAAATACAAAGTATAACAGGTACTTTGTCCATGGTCCTACGCCAACCCAACTGGCTGTATTTATTTATTTACTTATACATGAAATTCAACGAAGCCAAATTAACAGTCGAATTCAAGTAAATCTTAATAGTAAATCTTATACTAATTACCTCAAAAGGCAACCGGGTCCCAACCCAAACTCCTTAGGGCAAACAGCAAGGATTGCTTCTGAAAAAATTCAATTGAATCTACATACCACCTATCGGAGGGTGACTCCTGAACAGAGGCATACTCAAGTATTTGTCTAACCAAAAACCTGTACAGCCTTTTCGTAATATAGGGATCATCAAGCTCTATAGACCACCTCTTTACAAAACCATGCGCGGATCCAGCTAGCTAGCTAGGATCCGTGTGAGAAGCAATTGAGCGAGATTTGCAAAATATACTACTTACAATGGTGCTAAAGGTAATTAACACCTTGAGAATGTACCTTAGATGCCCGAAACACATTTTAGAAGGATTAATTGAAAAGGCAAGAAAATATTTCCGTCGACAGATAAGCTGAAGTCGATGATTTATTTTGCATTTTGTGCCACCTTGAAGACTTGCAAAATGGACACACATAAGAATAAACCGATGTTGGTAAAAGGACTTGCGGGTAAGCTGTCGAGCCAATATAAATTATATTGGACTATGTACACTGAAAATAATCGGATGGCAATTATAAAAACATTTAGTGAGTGGATCTTCTGAATCGCTGGTAGAAGAACAATCGCCATCTGAAATAAGATATTGCATACAGACAGGACATAGTGAAGGTGAACAATTTATATCGCACTTTTTTGAACAAAACTGAAGTGAATAGAATGTAGCGTTAAAGGCTGCACTATAAAGCTTTATAAGCTGATGTATAATTATGTCAACGATCCAGCATCGTCGTCTTCGCAGAAATAAATTTTTGCAAAATCAAGTAAAGCATTAAGTAAAACAATTACATATTCGACATCAGAGTGAAACACAGAAACATTTTTAGAATTTTACCAATTCGACTTCATTTTCCAAGTGCGTCTAGAATGGACCATTCAGGTCTACAGTGGCAACTCTAAAGGATTTAAGTGGTTAAATATTGATTATTGTGACTGCGAAAGCAATTATAATGAATTGCATAAAATGGTAAACGAGGAGTTTCTATTTAAAAGGCTCAACTAAGAAATCATTACATTACACTACACCATATAACATGTCAAAAATTCGACGCATATTACGTCTGCACGTAAGAATAAAGTAGCGTTGAATCGTACTAGTGGCAGGCCTTTGAGGCAAGTCCATAAATTCACAAGGTTTAAAGAAAGGACTCTAGCGACCTTTGGAACAATTGCTGCTAATTGATTGCCAAATGTTTTTGGGTATAGGTGTTCCATTGGGGGTAAGACCTCACTTAAGTGTCTTTGTCATTTGTAATGAATGTTGATTTTATTCTTTGTAGTTCGATCTAATGGATACAAATAAAATGCAACATGAAATAGCGCAACACCTTGAATAAACACCTAAGTCTTGATTTGAGGACGTCGAATCACTTTTCAATTATATTACGCACTTTTCCGTAGATTTTTTAAATTTCTCTTCCCTCACATTAGTTGTCTCGGCTAAAGGTGTCATTAGCTACGTTTCTCTCGAATAACCCGAGTCTGCAATCCGAGTGGTAGAATACCGGGAACTACACATAGATATGCGAAAATTGAAGTTCATGATCGCAAACCTTTCAAATAACGAAAAAAAGAATAAGTAACATACATCTTTAAACTAAAACTTAATTAACGTATAGTTTCATCATTTAAATTATAATATACCTTTCTGTTCATACATTGTAACCAGGCTTTGTATATCTATCAAACTTAGTTTTATGTAACCCCATCATTACATCTATTGCATTTAACCAATGTGCTAGTAAGTCTAACTATGTCCTCTTATATCTGAAACTGTTATCTAAATAATCTTTAGGGCAACGTTGCAGTGTCGCTATATGATGATTACAGGCCTATGACTCATGCGCACTAGTCTTAGCTGAGCTAGCTAGTTCGTCAGATGTAGAAAGACTTTTTATCTTTGCTCACAGATATTCTTTGGACGATTACCACCAGAAGAAATTGCACGTGGTTGCAAACCCGAAGGCGGTACAAACACAAAAATAAAGTTGAATTAGTACAGGTAATCGACATATGCAAGTTAAATTCAAAATCTCAATAATCTTTAATAACTTAACAGCAACCAGCTCCCATCACGAACATCACGGGCGCCGGAACATATTGGCCGGCATCGTCTAAGTTGAACACTTTCCTTTTCTATCCTTCATTTAAGCTGAATTCGTACATCTTTGCTTACAAATTAATTATTAACCAAATTTGTTTTCCTCTTTCTTACTGAAACTTTATACAATTCTTTTTCTTTCATTTTGATTCACTTTTAAAGAAGTTTCTTTTTCTCATCCCTTTATTTTTCTGTTTCCTTAAATGTATTTGCTTTGTATTAGCATACCACGACGTAGAAAGTGTTAAATTGTTTTTTTTATTGTTGTGACACTGAATTGTGGGTAAGGACGATTATGTTTATGACAACATCCACATCGTTCCTGGTGGAATAGTTGCAACTAGTAAGTGCATAAATTATATAAATTGGAATACTAATAAAAGGATATTTTTTTACCCAAAAAACCATACTTTGAATTTTTTAATCCATATTTTTCATCAATCGTTAGAGAGCGAATTTTAGTAGATTCTACATACAGAATTAATCTGCGAATATACTTTGTACTTCTTGAAATTGATGGCTGCTTTACTTGAATTGACTAATTGTTTGCTACACGCTTCTGATAGGACCCACGAGCCAAAAATATAACACTGAAAAAAGCTGTTTGATATTGATAAATAAAATGGACTTCTGTAGAAAGAATACAAGTTCATCACTCGAATTCCAAAGGGCAAAGTAGTGATCGTCAAGCGCCACCAAATCCTTCATGATATACCATAGCATCGTTTTAGGAAATGTAAAAAGTCGCATGGAGACCTAATCTTGAAGCAGAAACCAGTTCTTCTTATCCTTAAACGTTTCAGCAATCCTTTACGCTGCAATCTAATGAAATTGATTAATAAAAAGATAGTACTAAATGCCTTTTTTACTGCTTCCTTTCCGTATTTATCACAAAATCATACAAAAACATTGTGATTGTATCTTATTCTAAATTACATATTCTTTTACAATATCCTCAAATTTTTAAAAGTTTTGTCAGTATACTGTTGAACTACGCTCTGTTATTATAATAACAATGCACTGTGATCTGGTGAAAATTAGATCGCACACCATGTCGTATTTTCGTAGTCTCCATATTTATGCTAAAATGTCAGAATACTATGCTAGAATGTCACTATTATCGCTTCGCCTAACATCGGATGATGCCTAAGCTGACACTGCCATCTTCTATGCGTAAGATTTAGTGGTCCTACTGTTATCCAGAGATGACGCCTAAGCTGAGATTGCCATCGCCTATCCGTAGTCAAAAAAATGTCCCAGTCGGTAATGTCAAGTACAAACGAGTATGTTGTCTGCGATTCCTTACCTCTGGCTGCTGTAACAAGACTGAAAGAATGAGCGTATTACGACACGCTCTTTTGTTGTCGCGGTCACCATCGCTGTCCTGTTACATAGAGTGTTGTGCTGCACTTGTGTTGCAATCTCAACACTTACTTTTATATGTGTTATAATGATACTCTTACATACATCTTATTATTAATGCTATCTTAGGTACCAAATCGCATGATCGAACATGTATGAAAGCCATTAATCCCTACTTAACAAGAACAACTCAATGTGCTAGCTTTGGCATATTGAAGTAACTGTTAATATACAAGTATGGCAATAACTGTAAATATTTTTTTTTTTTTTTGGTATGTTGAATGGAGATGGACTAAGCCAATAGATTTGTGGCTTATATGTCCAAAAACTGCAAATATAGAAAATTCGAGGTTATTAGGTATGTGTTCATGGGAGTAGTATATTGAACAACAAAGCGTTTCATATACCATCCCTAGCATACTGACGGAGCTGTTAATAGACAAGTGACTTTTTAGGTATATGATTTTGCCTCAGACACCAATAAGTGCAAACCACAAGACCGTTAGGTATGTCACTTTGCTTAATATGTATGCGACGTATGGGAAATAAATTAGTGACCGTTAATCGTTGCATAAAAGGAATACTTCAATGGGCTAACTGTAGCTTATTAATAAGTAGAAGCAAAACAACTATATAGGCGTATATGATGTCTACAAAATAGTAGGCATGTTGTTCAACAAATTGTAATATGTTTATTAAGAGAACTTAACATGTTTTCCTCGGAAAAGATAAGGTGTAACTATACTATTGGTAGAATTCTTTACAAGCTTCATATCAATTAGCAGTTATGTCCTGTTCAAAATTTGTGCATATTTTAGCACGCGAGCAATCAATTATTTAAGTATAAAATGAGCGTTTCGTTAACTAATATTGTGATAAACATGTTTAATAATGTGAAACGAATAAATTTCATTTCATAATATAACAAAGTACAATGAACAAACGTACATCAGAACAAACAAACATATCGATTTCTATTCATCCCAACACACTCACTGAAATTAAAGGCGCTCAAACGCAGATTATTGCAGCACTCTTTAAATTTAATAGTCAAGTTGTAACGACCATTCAATTTGGTTGCACTGAACTTTAACTTCGAAGCTGACGCGATGCCGCTTGCCTTGCCTGGATAAAAAAATCTCACTGCACAATGATTTTAATCAACTCAATCCTTAGCAATCTACCGATATTTCCATACATTCAGATTCAGTTGTGAAGAATACCACTGTGTTTCGTCGCCTGAAATTCCAGAAATAAATTTTAGAAATAAATGCACATATCTTGTGGCAGATTTATGGCTGTTTTCAATTAATGGATTTTTACTGCGAAATGAGAGCTAAATTCAGAAAAGAACTAATCATTGATACAAAGTTGTGCAGCGAAATCTTTACTGTTCGCCATATTAAATTTCTTAGACTATTTGTAAGACATCCACGTTGTTATGCCCATAATTTTCTATCAATGCTGTCTGCTGTAATATTTCATCCCCAGAATAAAATTCGAAGTTTCCAAATCCTTTTTTTTGAACTATTTGTTAAGAAAATTTTTAAATTGTTCTTCTCATTTGGCTAGATCAAGATATCATTTATGTATATTTCTATGAACATCATAATGATGATTACCTGATAATCGATTAACTATACAAACTGCAATATCCACTGGTTTTGCTCTTGTTTAAATTTACTTGAAACAAAAAAAGTCTAGCTTTTTTAATAAGTTCTGCACATTCTTTCGGTTACACCATTGGTGCACTTGTTTGATAAATAATACTGGACAGTTTAATTTTATCCAATTGCAGACTAATTTTCAAACCGGATTGGTGTTTTATCATGTTCTTCTTAACAAATACTTTTTCTTCTTCTTTGAACAATCCGTTATAATGTAAACATTTCCTTGGCAGCCAAATCAGTACGGACCGTTATTTTCAAGTTCTTGCTATTTTCCAACAAGAGATGTCAGTTAAGATTTACCTGCCCGAGTTTCATTCCTTTTTACATAATCATCTGTTATGTTAGCTCCTGAACTCTTAATGCTCACCATCTTTGGCTGATACAATATTGACAGATTAGTCAACATCATTGTTTCAATCCGTTCATCAAAGATTTTCACTGACACGTTTGATAATTTTATCGCAAGTATTTACAAATGTCTCCATTTATTCACACTTCCATTTTTCTGTGAGTTTTCATAAGAAACTCAATCTTCATGCCAAGCCAGAATCTTGAAATTTTTTTTCTATATTTTTCCAACTCTGCTGCATTATAGCAGTTTTTTATTAATGGGCAAACAACATTACTTTAAACAACAAATAAAGTTTTGAACATGCCATAATTAGCTTTAATTTACACAGCATCCCATAGATCTTCCATGAAAAGAAGCCTGCACAGTAAACTTCCTTTGCTAAAGGTATCTCGATCATTGATATTTCCAGTCTGAACCAGATTGGAGGCCGCAAGCTGTTGTTATAAAGGAATTTAATACATATTAAAAAGTAAAAAATGAGTACGTCTACAATATGATAATTCAATAATTAGACCTAACAATCACAGCAGATATGTAAATTTCAAGTCGTTGCAGTAAATAATCTTTCTGCCTTCTATTATGACGTTGAATTCGTTTTCAACTAATGATAAATCTTCATCCTTAGCGTTTTAAGGTGCAAGCGGTCAAACACTGTTTTTTTCATAGAATTCAATTTATCGTCAACTGATCTCAATAACTTTCAGGAACCCATTCTACAAATTGTCTTGAAAACGCATATGTGTTTACAGCAGTAGCAACTGCTACAAATTAGTTGATTAAGTCATTTGATTTCGTAGGAAAAATTCGTCCTACTGATTCAGTATCCTTCGCTGTGATGCTATAGCGTCATTTCCAAGCAGGACGTCTTGAATATTAACACCCACAGGAGCTCCATAATTAGCAGGATTACTCGCGCCGTCGTCATTCCCTTCCAGTTCGTCTTGCTGTAATCATTGGAACTGTTCCTTTTATATTCAAAGAGAAAACAGGATTTATCGAAACATATCTGCGTTCTACCATTTGTCTCTTTACAGATATTTTAGATGTATCTGCTTCATCCTCGCAGTGGATAGTAAAGTACTTTCCTTCTACATGAGCATCATCGCCAAAACAACCCGTCGTTATGTATTTATAAAGAGTTTCAGTGTGCAAGTGAAGAATTTCAGACACAAACCAAGTTGAAGTAGGATGGGAGAACGGCCGCCATTAAAAGACCAAGTGCTTTTCTTCTTCTTGAATATCAACAACAAATGGCTCGCCGCGATATAAAAAGGTTCACAAATATTGTTTTTTTGCAAACTAAGCAAGCAAAACGACCTGAAGAGTTGCCAACTCAAAAAATTCAACGTGTGAAGGCAACCAGTTGTTATTTCATATTTTTTAATGTGTAATGTACATAAATATGCACATATTAAATTGTATATAATGTAAAATTTAAGATAATTTCATCCAACCTAAAATCTCATCATCAAGTCATCGAACTTTTTTAATCGTAACTAAATTAAAACGATTAAACAAAAACGTAGCTAGCTTACTAATAGGTTAAATACAATGTTTTATACGTTTTTAATGCTACACTATTTTAATTTTCTATTCACTTCTTTTATACAATTTTTGGGTTCCTTTTTTTGTATAACTATAACTATCATATAAATAGGATACCTAGTGCATTTTAATATTTTCAGAGGGGTTCGACATCTTTATCCTTTTGGATTAATTTAACGGAAAACATATAAATACCACGCTCATATGGCTGTAATACCGTTTTTGATACTGTTTAATAATAAGTAGCCACATTTTAAGCGTGTGGTGTACATACGCTGCCCTAAGCTTCGATTACGTATATTACTTAGTTATGGATGAAAAGGAACGGCGTTTATTATTATTATTTTAATTTTAGACTAATGAAATGAATTCTTAGACTAAAAAAAAGACATTGAGCACTAGCAACACAGGCTATCGGCTCGGAACGGCGTTTAGAAAGTCAAAATTGTCCTGCATAGAGTTGCGTTATTCATAGTTAAACCCGATTCGGTAATTGCTTGACAAAGGCATTGTTTTAGAATAATGATGTATATCAAAGTTTTTCTAACACCTACGTGTCATTTCGAATCTGCAAAACGAAAGTATTTACCCAACCTGAAGCCCACTTTGCACGAGTGTTGAATGTGCAACTGTTTTTATGTCTGCAAATAGGAGCAGTCGCATAAGATTTTAGCAACCCTGTCCTCGTTTTTTGTGTTTAAATCCTGCGGAGTACATTTCATGAGAGGGCGTTATATAGCGCTTCAACATAGCAAGAAATAGGGATGCTCCAACATTTAAAAGAGAGAAACTCTAATTTTATTGAAAATAATTTTAGTTTGTCCAGGACCCCGAGCGGGATATAAACGTTTGGTCAGAGATATCGGGTGGAGTAACATTAGTAATATTACTGACAAGTATCCAATGAGTATGGGATTATTTATCGTTTTTAGCTGTTTCGATAGCATATTTATTGTATTAAAGCAGAAGCTGTCTTATATAAAAGACTGAAATATAGCAAAAAGAGAGACAAAAATACAGTGTAAAAGTTTTTAGAGGTAGTTTTTGCAAATATGTATAAAACTAAATCCATGTAACAATGCGTTTGTAATAGAGAACTAAAAAATGAAACAAATTCCTGCAATGCTTTCGACTAAAAGTTAATCTTAAATGCTTAAAGAGATGAAGCAACCTTAATGAATGGATGAAGTAGGTAAAAGTGCCACACAGAACAAGGGTATGAATAGAACAGAACGCAATGAGATATCCCGGCATTGCGTAGTAAATTAGAAATCTATCTACTTTTAAAGTTCTTTGAGAGATCAACAGGGGAAGCAATCAATTGCCGATAATCACTAGATAACGGGTACACTATTTAAAGATTTTATATGGCCGTTCAGACCGTATTGGGATATAACTGATAGTTTTATTTTTAATCGATTTAAAAGCCGATAGAGTTGAATACGAATTTTCGTAACTTCCAATAATCATTATGCTATACGTATCAATTTTATATGCTTTAATCTATTATTTTATAATATAAAACGCAAAATTTTTTCGATCACTGGTTATAATTCAATTTTTTTGTTTAGTTTTCATTTGATTTGGTTTTGCAATTTGCGATTTTCTAAAATATGTTTAAAATGTTTCTTGATTCCAGCAAATTCAAAACAATAAAACAATTGCCTTTGTCTCTTAAAAACTATAAAATTAGCGTCTTCACACAATATTCGTTGTGGACCATTCACAATCAAACTAAACGTAAAGTTTTTTACAAGTTTTACAAGTTTTTTATGTAGATATCCGCTTTTTTTTGTTTCGTTGCACATCGTTAATCCGAAAAAGCGTATACTAGTTTCTTTGGCTACTGTTACTAAAATAATAGCAGTTAAATGTGAATATTTGCGCGTTCACATAAAAATAATTAATTGTTATGAAAATTCAATATATCTATGAAGCATATAAATGTGTTCTCTAACCAACTTTTAAGATAGGAGCCATACTTTAAAATATATGAACTTCTTATATTTTCCTAACACGTGAAGCAAAATGTTACAATAATAAATAAATAAAAATTGCCAAATCCTCATGTGCGTTTAATAAAAATTAAATTAATAGTTAATACAATTTGAAGTGGCATTCGTAGGAGTGGTTTGAAATTACTCATAAATGTTCATGATAAGACCTCAGGTGTATTTGCTGACTAATATATTCACTTGCTCTTAACATAATTCAGCTGGTTCTACAATTTTTGTAGTAGGATATTGGCATCACTTTTTCATCTCGGCTTTAAACAAGGCAATTCAGCAATTGTGTTGTAGTTCAAAAGGAATTCGGGGTGGCACCGTGCTGAAATGGTGAAAATTTTTCATGCTCATTTGGGGAATTTTTGCGTGCGCTTACAAAAAAACTGTAGCGTAAAGGAGGGAAAAGAGAGGATGTGCTGAATATCCTAATTGTATATATCGATTTTTCTTTGGTCGTTGGCGCGGACATCTTTTGCGTTATGGCCTTTTTGGCTTTCGGTTATGTTTGGCTGCGATAGTTAAACAAAAAAGGTATGAAACCTAACCTATTGTGACGAATAGTTAATACATATAACTTTTAAACCATTGGAATGGTATTTTTTTTCTTTTTACGTTGAAGACACGGTTTTATGGACATTCGGCGACAAAAGTTTACATATGCATGTGTGCAGGAAGTTTTCAGTTTGAAAAAACAACGCCCGGTTAATAAATGGGATTAGAATTGCACACATATAGTTAAGCGTAAGCAAAGCAATGTATGAACTGAATATTTTTTAAAAAGTTTCTGATGGTTTATGTTTAAAATGATATCTTGTTTCTAATTTTTTATTTTTTTTATAGGATTTATTCAGTGATAGGGTAAGTCATTGACATGTTCTAAAGCACTAAAGTATAACGTAATGAAAAGTAAAACGTAAAAAAATAAGTGCGTAGTGAAAAGGCTATTACGTCTATGAAAGGATAAAAACGTTATAATAAAATATATGGGAATCATGTCTTCAATAAAAACGGCAACAATCTTAACAAATACTGCTGTCACATCAGAGATTTGTTCACCATCCAACGTGTTCACGCCAACAATTGCAGCAAAAGTTTCGTCAACGTCAACATGTGCTACTTCATTTTGTTTCGAGAATGCCATCATTTTAAGCGGCAGTTCTGGTTGCTCATCTTTATCAAACTCTCCTACGTCATCAACTTCTACAACTGGCAGCATACCATCGCCTACACCAGCGAATAAAACTTTACACGATTCATTTTCGTCAACAGCTGTAAATGGCGAATATGAAGAACAGGTTCTAAAATGTGTTCCGCAAAATTCTTTATTGGCTAAGTTCAAATTAACGGAAGACAATGCGATTAAAAAAGAAAACGGTATACTAAATGAGCAATCACAGTTGTTGGATGATTTTTCTGCGGATTTTTCCGTTCACCACAATTCGCGACAGCATCACGTCCAACAATTTCAATCGCAATATCAACAACAACATATGGTTCATCATTCCATGCAAAGCTTAAATACAGACGATGCACGTACATTGCAACTCGCTGTGGAATTATCGATGATGGGGTTAAACGACCAGATGATCGTTCAGAATTCTCAATTGCAGCAGCTACGTTTTCAAGCTACAGAAAATCAGTTCCCCCAATACAACTCAGCTTATCAAATGAATACTTTAAGTAAAACACTACTGCCGACACGTAATACAACAGTGCTGACTAATTCTAAGTATACAGGCAACCAAAGCAGCTCTGGTCATTTCAATACTCCGAATTATCTAAATCCGTCAACATGTTTAACTATTTCAGAAGAGCGTGCAAAAAAATCTCAAAATATGACTGAGTGTGTACCAGTCCCAAGTTCAGAGCATGTTGCTGAAATCGTGGGACGTCAAGGTGAGAACACACTTATATTGTATTCTACATGTAAAATTATATACAAATATTTTTAAGGTTGTAAAATCAAAGCTTTGCGTGCTAAAACTAATACCTACATAAAAACTCCTGTGCGAAATGAAGAGCCAGTTTTTGTTGTAACTGGACGAAAAGAAGATGTAGCAAAGGCGAAACGGGAAATATTGTCCGCAGCAGAACATTTCACGCTAATTCGCGCAACTCGTAGAGCTGGTGATGGAAATGGGGCTTACAATGGGATGGCTGGCGTTGGTTGTATTCCAAAAAATTCTTTGAGCGCCGGTAATGGTATTCAGGGGCAAGTGACTATTCAGGTACGTGTACCGTATAGGGTTGTAGGTCTAGTTGTAGGACCCAAGGGCAATACTATTAAGCATATACAGCATGAAACGCAAACTTATATCGTCACCCCATCACGTGATAAAGAGCCAATATTCGAAGTAACCGGTTTACCAGACAATGTGCAAGCGGCTCGCAAACATATCGAGGCGCACATAGCAACACGAACAGGCGCTGAAAACGTAGGTAACTCAAATAGGTCGGCGTTGTTTATGCAAGGACATATGGCAACTTCATCCGCAATCCATACTTCGATACCTGCGCCTATAACTTCTTTGGCGACTGCGTTGTCTCTTTCTCATTCTACCACACCCCATCAATTTCACTTAGCGATTGGTCAAGAGGATAACAAAGACATGCCGAAAATTGTGAACTCGTCAATAAATCAGGAATCTATTCCAGGAAAGGCTTCATTGCAATCAGTTTCGATGTTTACGACCCCATCATCTCAGCACACTGTGGGCTCAACAGTCCACGATGAATTAAGTTTACCTAACATGCTAACATCACCATTGCCTATTTTACAAATCGTTCCCAAGATTAACGCACTAATTCCTAGCGCTACGACTTCAGTTGAAACTATGTCAATGGAAAGTACGCCACATAGAAATAATGATAAATCTTTGCAAGCTATACATACCATTGATAAAATTGTCAACGACGATATACACGTCGAACTTTTATCTACCATCTATAAAACGGGAATTGAATCAGCTTTTGAATCTCTTCAGCAAAGTGTTGGGGAAGTTGTAAGCCAATTACATGGTGTAGAAACTAATTCAAAGAAAACACCAGTAAAAAATTTGACTAGCCTTAGCTCATCGTCCGGTCGTTTAACTGAATTTCCTCTAACTCATTCAACTGAAATAGATATTAAACCTTCAGTGGCATCAAGCTCCCATCCGATTAACCAGATTCATTTAAATGGGATGATGAACTTTCATATGACGACTAACAAAGGAGATTACTCAAATCATATAATCAAAGCAAGTAGTGGTTTCGAGTCAGATCTAGACCAGCAAACGCCTAATATACAACAGCTTGCAAGTTTCATGACGAACGGTGGACCAGTCCGTAATGTCAGTAGTAATGCAATTTTAAGAAATTTAAAGTCTAACATTAACGAAATTTCAAACGGTGCAAATAGTGTTAGTGCTTTGACACGTTCTTGCTCGTCCGCCTCATCGGCATCCGCGTCTTCTTCAAAGAGCCTTTCTCAAAGTAACAATAATACTACCAGTACAGCTGCATTCTGGAAAAGGGTAAGTCTTGGAGACTCCACGGAAATAGATGAAGGTATTGGTGAATCACCAAATATATGGAAGCTACCAAAGAAGTTAGCAGTAGTTACGAGTTCATATTGTCCGGCTTCTATCAGTCCGACAGACCAAGAATATTTGAATTACAATCATTTTCGGAACAAACCTATTATCATTCATGGCCCTATGGAACATAATGGCAAAACTAAAATCAAACGTGATTGCTGCATTTGCCATGAAAAAGAAATGGTAGCCGCGTTAATACCATGTGGACATAAGATGTTCTGCGTAGACTGTGCCAATAATATATGTTCTGGCAAGGAACCGACGTGTCCCTTTTGCTGTATGCGTGTCTACCAAGCAGTAAAAATATTAAATTAATAAATTTAAACACATTTTAAGCTTCCCCAATAAGCGCCAAATAAATTTATACAATGGCAGATATTTGTAAATATTTTTTCCGTATTTGTGGTATTTTTATAAATTAAAAAAAAAAAATCATTATTGACATTATTTATAGCGTATTATTATTAAGTTTACCAAATTATTACTTTTTTACACGACTTAATGAAATTTTTAAACAACATGTGAATATATATATACAATAAGATAACAAATAGTTTATTATCGTAGCTCACAACTAAATTTTATAGTATTTATTATATAAATTGTAACCATCGAAGCGGTCAAATTCTGACTTATCGAATAGACTTTTTCGAACAGTTTTTTATATGACGCCAATGTCCATCAGATATATATGTGAACCTAAATTACACATATATTGTTTCTCTTATATAATTTATTTATCTTATATTAATCAGTCCGATTTTTCATAGAATAACTGTGTCAAATTGGGAGACGGGTAATAACAGAAATAAAATGTGGTGAAGGTGGGGGGAGGTAATGGGCTAAGGCAATTTGTGCTAAAAATAACACCAACAGTAACATTAACGAAGAATGTAAATACCATATAAAAAGTATAATATTTTAACCTCAAAGCATTTTTTGGTCTTTCCACTTATTGTGATTGAATATTTAATGATACTTGCATAAATGTACTAACAAAAGTGCATAAATAACTGGCTAGAAGATAACAGACATGAACTAGGAAGAGAATATGATAACGTCTTGCTGTGATTTTACCAATGTTTATTTCTGCGGGAGCAAATATTACCGATCTTAAAATAGGACATTCCTAGATAGACTTTTCAAAATTACGATGATGCATAATGTGCTATCGACTAAATTAGAAAGTTGCGGCAAAGGGATCCATCTAATTTTTAGTTAACTTCAATTTTTTGATATAAAAGTGAAATGTTTTGGGTATTTGAAAACACGTTTATTCGTTTATTATTCAGTTAAGTTTTTGATTTGGGGGTTTTTTTACTTTACCGATTAACATTTGTTAGTTCGAATTTAATAATTTACTGTAAAGACGTAAAATAAAGAAAGATTTTACTATATCTTAAAAATTTCAACATATTTTCATTGCTAAACCTGCGGACCATAGAAAGCATCCATCAATACACAAAAACTTAAGCAAACTGACGAAAAACTAGCTGAGTTGGTCAATATGTCAAAAGTTTGATGGTCCGTGAATACTATTTCTTGTTTTCGATGCGGTCGCGAGTCTGTGTGACATCTTCTGTGTTGTCGGTGAGTCAGTTAATTTGCCCCAAATATTCTAAATTGTTGCTGAAAAGCGCTGGGTTATTACGGGACAATTTTAGTAGCATACGGTGTCGTTCTTTTAAAAACAGCTCCATAAAATTAATGAAAAAAACAAACTTCTGATAAGCGTCATATGCGTTACCAAAACATTTACATTTTAAATGCCAACGAAATGTTGGCATTGCTGAATATTATTTTTTAATTAGCAAAGTTCCGTCGTACATAACGAAAAGCGATGAGCGAAAAATAAGCATTTTTATGTAGAACGCGTCTGTTTGAACCAAAAAAGATTATTTATGTAATTAACTTTTTGTATGGTTTACATTAAAAACGAGAAATATCGGCTATAGTTATTAAGAAACCATTTTCAAAAATTGTTTTTTTACGTTGCGCTGTGAATTTCCTCGGATTTTTAAATCAGTCAAGATTTGGTTGGTTTTCTATATCAACGTTTATTTACTTGTGAGTTTGGTAAGAGCAAGCAGATCAAATGATAAATTAGCTAATGTTGGTAAATTGCTTTAAAACGTCAACTTGACAATAAGTATAAATGCTAGTATGTGTTCTTGTGTATGGCAAATAAAATGAATAATCACATTTTCCAGTAGCAACTACAAAAGAAAGTATTCTTAAATATATTCAGTAGAGGTTTACAAATGTTACTGTTAGAATGTTACTGTTCGGTCTAAGCACGTGTCAAATAATATATTTATAGGGTTTGGTATAGTTTTTTCTCTAGAAACTTACATTCAGTTCGTAGGTCTTTCAAACTTGCTATTGTAATGAACACACATAGTGTGAAGGTTTTTAATAGTTCTCTACATCTCAATAAATGGATTCTTCCAATGTTTGCATTTTGAAAAAAAAAAAAAAAAAACAACGATAACAATAATAATTATACATGTAAACACGTATATAAAAACATTTATAGCTTATAAAAACAAAATATATAAATTTAATGCAAAGTGAAAACAAATAATACAGCATACTAGACTAAGTACTTATAGACGAGTCAGTAGCTACAACACATACCCCTTCACACGTATCTGCACATATTAAACACCGCATATTGTATTTTAACCAAAAAAAAAAAAAAAAAAAAAAAAAAAATGCAATTATAAATACATACCTATGTATTTTTTCCATTCAGTCCTGAAAAACAATTTTTATAAATTATGGGTAAACACGATACGAAAATATTTTATTTTTAATACAATATTGAATGGCTTTTACGTAAACATATATGTATTATAATATAGTAATTTAAACTAAGGAAGTATTAAGACTTGAAAAAGAAGACTTTGGCTAACTCCATTCTTAGAACAAATATTTTTAAATACGTTTTAAAAATGTCACACCTATCTTGTAAATGTTTTTCTTTTTAAGTTAAAGAAAATAATTTCATTAATTTTATATTTTATTTTACAAAAAGTCAGTCCTTTGCGGAACTGAAATCCCCTCCGGAACAATTTGTATGCATGCACATATGACTTTGCACACGTGTATATATATTATGACAACGTTAATGATGAAAAATATTACACACATAACATGGGAGTGTACGAAATTGAAATTTGTGAACGTATAGCCCGTTCGTTGTTTTATATTCCTATCGTTGAAAGCCGTTTTAAATTAAAGTGTTCCATCTTATATAAATAACGTTTTTCTGATGACAAAAATGAGTTTTCGAAACAAAAAGTACTATAATAGGGTGAAGCATTTTGGTTCAGAAGACATTTGTAATCAAAATAAAAGCAAAAATGAGTAGGAAAATGTTAACTTAACTTTGTAAAAGATAATACAGAAGCGTTAAATGACTTTATTCTCTGTATAAGTTGACTTTTGCTTACGAACATATATCTATGTATGTGTAACAAAAATTAATAAGCAAAAGAAAAACAGTAAAAATGAAATATGGAGCATTTTCAATTACAACAAAGATTAGCGTTAGGCTTTTCTTTGTATTTGGCATGTTACTTAAATAAATATATGAATATATGTATATTAAGGAACGAAAACTTAAAAAAGAGAGACTAAAATCATATATATATTTGTTAAGGAAGCGCTAATGAATGTAAACACATAAAAGACACCACCAATAAGTCCACACGAAAATATTGCCACAATTCTACGTGTCAAGAGGGCATTTATTCAACAAAAATAAATTTGATATTTATTTTCGGGTCACAAACTTAAATATATATGAAAGACATGATATTTCATGCCTAACACTCGTTAGAAAAGACAGAAATTAAATAATAAAGCATAGTTTTCATAAAGACAAGTTCATTTAAAATATCAAATAATGTCTTGTTTTGTTTTTAATTTTAATAAAATTTAATGATTTTCATGCAGATTGAATAAGTAGTTGTATGTCGTCGATGAATATACGTAATACTTCGAAGAGATTAACAACCTTATCAGTGTATGAAAATTAGAAACGATTAAGTCTGATGCTGGCTTATTAGTTGCCGTTTTAATTTTGCGATCATAATTTCAAAAACTAATGGGTTGTATGTAGGTGTGATAGAATATAATTTCTTCTTTAAATGTGCTCTAATCACTAAATACTAAATTACGTGTATGCTGAAAAATACGTTTGACTTTGGTCGATGTTCTAATACCGACGTCTCGCGTTTAACAATTGGGCATGTATTGAAATTAATGGAAGGACAATAAAATTGATTAATTTTTGTATATTAAGTGAAATTTGCTCATGTTAACATATATTTTTTTATATGGGAAACTGAAAATAGCATCCGTGTTTCGTTGCTTCGTTTCCTTGATAACTTGGTAACAATGTGTACGCTCGATTTTATAAAATTTGAAATGTTAATGGATTCTAGTATATCTTTTATCAGGATTTTGTGTTTCCACCTAAAATTTTCCACGATATCTATCGTCCTGCAGTGATATCGAAATGTGACTTACTACATTTCGAGCAATTAATGGGCTTTCATCTTTGAATCCACAGACATCTCCTCAATGAGATGTTGAAAACACCTTATTGTTTATGCCATATTGTTCTCTATTTTCTACTTTCTTTCAATTGCTAATTAACACAGTATATGTTTTACGTATTGCTAATTGCACGTTCTTGTTATCTTCTGTCTGATACTAAAGTCGTATCATATAAAATATATATTCTTATAAGGAAACTGTCGTAATTTTTTCCCGTCAAGTTGAAACTGTTCATACTGACTGCAACTGTGGTATACCACTTTTTCATAATAGGGATAGGGGATAGTTTTATCTCATAATAGCGTCCTTCTGGAGATTTTCTGCTATAATTTCTGGTAATTTGTTTGTCACCTATTTTCTTGTTTTTACCGTTTACTGAATTTTCCTGAGCCCCTAATGACGTTTCTCGAGTATTGTTAGCATGTTTTTTGTAATTCTTTTCGAATTTTTGATTATTGTGCTCATTGGACAAATTGTCATTTATTGTTGGTTTTCGATATACCAGGGGTGCGCAATATTTATGGCCTCCAAGCATACGGGAAGCTACTTTGGAGAAGATTTTTTTTGTAAATGCTCTGTTCTAGACATTCTGAGTAATACCTGTAGGAATAAAACTGGCGCGATCTATGACAAAGAGACGATAGGAAGGTAGCTTCAATTGTCAAACCGCTGCAATTAGAATAAAAGGAAAAACTGAGAGCCCAACATGTCCAATATAAATAAACTGTTAGAAAAGTGCAACAATTTTGAATATATAAAAATCAAGGAAACGATATTTGCTGTGGCTGGGATCCACCACTAA